CAAGAATTCTCCTTCCCTTACCAGGTCCACCTGCTGGATAACCCAAAGAAAAACATTAGACAAGTTGTTTGCTAATAAACTGAAAAATATGCATATGAAAAGGCAGCTCTGAATGACACTGAGCGTAGAAACTGCAATGGCAAAGGTGCACACCATGACTTTTTTTAAATGATCCATCTCTTTTAGGTATTTTTAGTACCTTCTTTCCTTTTTCCACTGTTGTACACGTGTTTGTATCTGCCTTCAGTTAGATTATCTTTGCAAAGTAAGTACAAGGTAATGAAATACCGGAAAAGAGAATAGATTTCCCTGGCCCAGTCTTCGGGGTGCTCGTTGGAGATACAAATATAATGACTTAAACCATCTTGACTTATACTCTGTGGTGTTGATAGTCTAATTTCAGCATTACTTAAACAAAAAAGTGGAAACTCTGTTCTAATTTTATGTAGTTGGTTCCTTTTTTGTTTGTTTGTTTTTTCCAGTACAGTAATACCAAGGTGTTCATAGATACTAGCGTGTGGAAACACAGATTGTTACTGTGTGAGCTTTTTGGCTGTCTTTAAGATCCATGTGTGTATGTACTTTTAGGGGTAGTATTACACTTTTACGCGTGGAGCTGTTTGTTTCTGGGAGGTTGGGAGAGCGTGGGAAAAGGCTGTTACAAGGTAATAATATTAGTGGTTTTGCTAGAGGAAGAGCTTTGTCAGAAAGTACGTCTGCTGGCATTTCTTGAAAGAAGTCTTGTATTTGTTTATTGTGCCCTATTGGCACTTGAACCTCCTCCTTTGTCAGTAGCTGAAGGCAAGTGATGAGGATTTGACCACCGTCTTGTTTCTTTAGCTTTCACTGGGTGAGAAAAGTGGAGCTTCACCATTTCATCTTCACTTGCTCGCTCCAGCCGTGTCTTCCCCTTGGTGACTTTACGACTCTTGCACAGTTACTGCAGCAGAGATGCTGGTGGTGGTGGTCGGGGATGGATGCTCCTTTGCCCTCACGCTTGGGACATCTTGCTACTGGGGTCATTCTGTACAGGGAGGCTGGAAAACAGACTTTGGCTTTCAGAAATGTCGCCTGCAATGGGGGTAGTATGCTGTTACGGAGTCATTAATTTTGGCTGGTCTTTGAAATGGCAGTGTAGAAACACTGAAATGGAAATGTCAAAGTCCTGAGCTGCAAATAGCTGGAGGGAGGGAGGGAGGGAGAGCGTTTGGGAAGTGTTTTTACATGCTTAGTTTCTTTATATTTTTCTTTAGGCATCTGCTGCTAGCTTTTGTCAGAAAGGACATACAGAATCTACAGGGGCCTCTGGTCATTCTTAAGGCCTAGGATGATTTTTTGTTTCTACTAACTTCTGCAGAAGGGGAAATGGTGGTGATCTGAGACTTGCTGGTATTCGTGTTTAAAGTGGTGGTGTGACATGGCATACTGTCCTGTGCTACCCTGTTGCAAATGCTGAGATCTCAGCTGTTCTGTAGCACAGGCTTGTTAGAAAAATAAGCGAATATGGGGGAAAGTCTGTGGCTTGAAGTGCAAGATGAGGGAGCTAGCTCTCTTTTACTGGGAATGTCTCAGAGAGGAAGTTTAAATTTAAACAAGCAAAGAAAAGCATGAAGGAACCTAAAGGCTCAGACTAGTCTCACACTACAAAATATATTTGATGCAAATTCAATTTCTGTCTTGAAGCAACCTAAATGATATCTTAGCAGCTGGCACCAATTGACTATCTCCCGGAATTGGCATGATGACAGCAATCAAACTGAATTTATTGCTTTGGGTTTGATTCCTCTTCCGGACTCTTCCCATTCTCAGAAATGTAATCTAGAATGTGTTCCCACAGGAATGACAGCTTCAAGCCTCCTTTAACAGCAACGATAGAGCATGGTCCTAGTGCAGGATGAAGACAGGTGGACTGTAGTATTGAGCAGCCGGGTTGCGTGTTCCAGTTGAGAGCAGGAAGACTATGAACTGGTAAAGGGAGGAGCAAAGGTTCTTTTCTTCATGATGCAGTTTCTCATCAGAGATGATTCACAGCTAAGTGTTAGTTTTGTTGTTCCTTCTTTTTACTGCATTTAGGAAAGGAATCTGCCTTCCCATTGGGTTGGCTGAACTTTTTGGCTGCTAAAAGTCATCCCCATGTCCCCCCCTGCCCCTTTTTTTCCTTAAGGCAGGTGTACTAAGTAGCGAGCGAGCTTTAGCCACACGACCTCAGTATAGCTGCAGTTTGGTAGAGCCAGCCAGTAAATAAGGCAGTGGGTGTGTTCCTTTGCATGTGGAACCGTTTTGAAATGGTGCTGTGTTTCTAATACTTGTTGAAGAAAGTATGGTAGAATTAACTTTTGCCACCTCGCTTTCTGGTAGGTGTGAAATTAATCACTTTCACTGATAAATCTTGGTTTGATGTATTTCAATAGCTGTTTTGTCCACTCTTTCAATTAGTTTTTAATGCTGTCTTCTGCTTGCCAGGAGAAGGAACTACCTGAAATAGGTGTGGTTTTGCTGAACTTTGTTCCTAGAGCAATAAATGTTAGTGTTCCCTGGGCAGGTGGAGGGCATGGGGCGCAAAGGGCACGTCTCTTTCAACCTCCCCGGTCACTGGTCCTTTGAGGAGCTTGTGGCAAGACTCTGGCTGGAAGGCATGTTTGTGTGGCAGCTGCCTGCAGCTGAAACAAAACCCCTCTCCGTATCTCTTGGGAGCGGGAGTCAGTCAGGGCATCGTAGCTATGTCCGAAGCCATGAGGGTTTCGTGCTGCGCTGCCTGTGCAGGGTGGCAGTGCCGGCACCTGACACCTAACCATCTTCTCCAGCTCCATGGCTCAAGTTTGGCCCTCAGTCCGCTTGCTTGGGACTGATCTCCTTTTTGGGTTTGTTGCAGGTGTCTTCTCCAGACTCTGCCTTTTGCAGGCGTACCTCAGCTCCACGCAGACAGGTCTCCCTGTGCTTGCCTGGCAGCCCCTTCTCCTTGGCACAGCTTCCTAACAGGCTGATAGGCACAGTGACCTTTTTCTTCATCTTTTGTTGTTGTTGTTATGTAAATGTTCTCACTTGACAGCTCTAGGCTACTGGGATTTGTAGATGTCCTGTGCCCTGTCTTCGTGTCTGAAAATGTTCTCCTTCAGGCCTCGGGTACCCTTGGAGGAGAAAGACCTGGTGAGGAAAAACCTCCCGTGAAGCAGCTGTGCATGTAGTGGCTAGAGTAGAAAACCGGGAAGTGATTCCCTGGAGAAGAATGGAGCCCAAAAGTTGTGTCTCATGTTATTCATCCATCTCTGCCACCGCATCTCTGGGGTAACAGACTGAAGTGGTGAGACAATGAAAGGATTTTCTTACCAAAGAGTAAGAAATGCACATCAATATAAAACTAGTCATATGCCCCACCCTGCTAGAGATTGCCAGCTTTTCGTGAAGTAAAGCTGTCTGCATTTTGTGTTTTTTTTTTTTTTTCTGTTGGGTCCACCTTTCTTTTACATCACGTTATCCTGTTTGTCTGCTGAAGTTCGATGCATTTGGGTCATACAGGCCGAACTATCATGGTTTTGGTCTGCTGTCTTCTGTACTCAGGCAGGGTTGTTTTTGTTTTAACCTGCTCAGTTAAAGATTCTTACAGCTGTGATGTTATTAACTGTGCATGGCCACTTCTGTCCATCCACTGTGCACGAGCAGTCCTGTCCCAGTGAATGGACTGCATGTTCGTATAAAATTAAGCAGTTTAATTTTTGCAGGTCCTTAACTCTCACAAATGATGCTAACACAATCATTCTTGTTTTCTATTAAAGTGAATCCCTAGACAAATCAAAACCCAACCCAAAGAAATCCCAGTTCTCTGAACAGACAGTTTCTTATCGGGTATATTCTGAAGAAACCTGTTGTTAACGTTACTGGAATGACACTTAGCACAGTATTTGCAGAGCAATAATGTTAAAGGTACGTGGGTTAAATGTAGTCTCGCATGCTGAACCAAGATGCAGAAATCATATCATATAAAGGACTAATAAAGAGAAATAGATATTCACACCTTAGTTTGTGTGTCAACCATGAGAAAGTTTTCTCCTGCTGTTTTTAAGCACCATCTCCTTAAGCATTTACGTTTTAATTTTTTCTACGGAAGAGCTATGTAGATTGTGCTTTTCTGTCCATGTAGATACTCATTGCTTCAGACTGTAGACAGAAGAATTGTCCAAATAGCAAGGTTCTCTTTTTTTGGCTGGAAAACAGTAAATGAATATTAGATGAGTGTCTGTAATATCCTGTACTTAAGTTTTAAGCATCAGCTATTGTTCAGGGCTAGGCAGCTCTGTAACATAGCAGAAAAAGAGCTTAATGAAACCCAATATTTGGAAGCAGGAGGTAGATGAATTCAGACTTGGAACAGCGGTGCTAAATTTTAACAGGAAGGATAACTAACATTTGGAGTAACTTCTGTGGGTGTATGACTTTATTTATCGCTTGAAGTCTTGAATGTGAACCCTTATGTTTTCTAAAGGATATACTGTGTTTTAGGCAAGTTATGGAGATTGCTGGTTGAATTTCATAGTTTGTGGAAGATGGGAAATAGGCCTAGTGTCCCAGGCCTGGGATCCTGTAAGGCAGGTCAGATGTGTTGCTGTGTTTCCATTAGCTCTGAGGTGTGCTTCCAGTGTGCTTTAAGAATAAACACCTTCACTCCACAAGTGGCTTGCAGAAATAAGTTTGATCTTTTGGGCAGAGGGAGGAGAAATTATTTGCTTTGCAAGCTCTTGGTAATGCAAGGATCTGAACCCCTGTCGTCTTTTCATCATTATTCTAATACTTTGCATTTTTAAGGTTTGGTGGGACCCTATATAAGAGGTGTATTGAAGCCCGGCCTTTGACTGCTCTGCTGGACTCACAGAATTTTGTTTTTTCTGTATCCTACTGGGAATAACCGTTGTTAGACCAGAGAAGGGTAGAAAAATTGCAGCTCTGTGTTTATTCCTTATGCATTTAGGTACTGGGTTGTACCCCACAAGTACCAAGTCAGCTCTGCCACTGATCCCTGGAACGAGAGTCAAATGCCTACTCTGTGCCAAAGACCACCAGGCGATAAAGAAAGATTTAAAAAGGGGCTCTTTTGGGGGATGGGGGGGTCACAGACTCTTTTCAGGTCACAGGCTGGGCTGTGTTCTGGTGCCGCCTGCAACAAGATGGGTGATCCTGCAGGAACGGGATCCGTGATCTTCCTGGACCTGCAGCAGGAAACCCACCCAGCCTGACCCTCCGCTGCCCTCAGTTGTGGCGGCTGGCTGCTGCGGGCTGGTGCTCCCAGGGCTGGAGCATGCTTTCTCTCTGCGAGTTGTGCTTGAGTTTGCCTGTTTTGTTGCCCTGGAGACAGAAGAGTGTGGTATGCTTTCCCCCTGACCAGAAATAGTTTCCTGTACCTTGTGACCGGAGCGCTGTACTCCTTCTCTGGTCTCCGGCCAGGCTGTGTGGTGCTGGAGGGATGGGGTGTGGGGTGATGACCTCTTGTCACAAGTTCTGGTGTGGCTGCTGCCCATGATCGCTAGCTGCCCTGCCCGCTCCCCTCCCTCTGCACGATGGTGTAGGATTTCAGGGGAGCAATTGCTCTTGATTTACATCTCCCATGGCATTTTGATGGTTATGTCATTTTGTTTGAGCTTTGCTCCTGTCAGCTGTCTGTCCTGGCTGTCAGGACTCGGTGGCTGAGTAGCACGTGGTGAGCTCTTACCTCTTCTTCCCCCTTTGCTCAGCTGTTTTTGCTGTCTGCTTCCCTGTGTCCTTGGACTTGGGAACAGATTCTCAGCAAGTGTAACTGCGCACGAGGGCAATGTGATCCGGGTAGATGAAGGATCCCCTTCTGTAGGAGTTCCAAGTAGAGCTGGGAGGGTAAGCAGGGAATTTGCAAGACCTAGGCGTGCAGCAGGCTATGGATAGTTTATCTTAAACTGTTGTCGTGCTGTGAGAATCTGGCCCGAGTGCAGAGTATGCAACACAGTCTGTTACCTTGCAACTGTGTTTTGCAAAACTTTTTGTGAGAGATGCTGCTAAAAGGGAAGCCAAGGCACCCCCACCCCTCCCCAGCAATGCAGGTGAGAAAGCGCTTGCACTGCACCAAGGCCTCGGGAGCGTGGAAGCTCTCCAGGCTTTCTTGCTGCCTGCTACTTTATTGGAGAGTGGTTCTGGCATAGAACTGTAAAACAGATGCAACAGCAACAGTAATTTCCAGGATTTGAGAAGGAAGGAGAGATGAAAGGAGTAATTTACCTTCCCCCATCCCTGAACAGTAGCAGATGAGGATGTAAGCACATCTCAGCCCTATAAAATATTAATTGGGACATTTTCTACAGTTCAGCAGTGGGAAAGAAGACAGAAATCCTGCAATGCCCTGAGCTGCTTTTCCCAGCCTGGGAGAGAAAAGTGTTCTGAGCTGAGATCTGGCTCAGTGTCCGTCTTCTGCTCATGGGGAAGAGAACAGTTGCCCAAAGCCTTCCTTTACAAAGGCAAGGGAAGACCATGCAGAGACCATGGAGCTGTACAGGCTGTTTTCAGGCAGAGCAATGCCGTGTGGCTTTGTTGAGGTGGGTCTCTAGCGGGTTTCCTAGAAATTGGAGAATGCTGCATTCCTACGAGTGATCTGCTGAGTAGCCCAACCAGCCAAGGGTCCTGCTTACTCCTGCAGAGAAGACTTGTGTGTCACAGGGGATGCAGAGAAGGTCTGTTTTCAGGCCTGTGTGCTGAAGATCTACTACAGAAGAAATGTCAAGAGCAAGCAGGGACTGCTGCTTCCCCTTGCTATGTTCTTTTGATGGCTGGACTGGGGAGGAAGGGCAGTCCTTGCTTCTTGCCTCTTTGTAGGCATCCGCGTCCCCAAAAGTCTAGAGTGTGGCAGTTGCCAGCACTGCCTAAAAGATTTGTTTCCCTCAGATCGTTTCAGTGAATCTGTGCTTGTCCAGTGTGAGCATTTCACTTGGGAGGATGGGGGCTTTGCAGTCAAAGTTCAGGACTCAGTCATTGCTGTAGTGAAAAATCTCCTGTCTGAGCATCAGTGGCTAAAAGGCCCCCTGCTTCTTGGCTGAGATGGGCAGTTGCCCTAGCTCCCTCTCCTTTCCTTGTGCTCACACATTACGTTTCTAGGGAGGAGAAACCATTTTTTACTCTCCTTGATATTTTTTTCTTTAATCCAGATGACAGTCGTGCTCGAACTGATGTTTCCTTTGGGCTGAAATAAACGTACTTAGCATTTGGGCAAAACTTCTTGCCTGGCGATCTCGAAGTGCTTGATCAGCATTTCACCAGCAGGTCCATCCGTGGGTGATGAAGTATGGTTACCTTTACGGTTCAGTGGAGCTGGCAGAGTTCCCTACTTCATGTGATAACTGTGCACTAGCAGGAGATCTGTATTTCTTCCTCCTACTCTGCCCTTCTCCCCCAGGGTTTCTCTGGAGTGGAGGCAGGTCCTTTTCCCATTTCATGTTGGCTATTTCTTCAGAGACTTCTCCTCTTCCTTCTCTCCAGCCTTGGAGAAGGAGGTAAGTCTCAGAAGAGATGCCACTGGAAGTGGCTTTGCATATCTGTGAGGCTGACAGAAGAGCAGTGTCTTTGACTCTGCTGCTACTTGCTTTGAATCCAAGGAGGGAGTATCAGTTTAGTGCTAGCTCTGTAGCGGGAGCAGAGGTCCTCCTGCAGCCTTGGCTGCATAGCCATTGCCTGAAACAGCTGTGAGGTTTTGGGAGACAGTTGTGTTCCAGCAACTCCCAGCCCTCTGGATGCCTGCTGGGTCACCATGTTCCTTTCTCCGTTGAATATGAATAAGAGCTTAGTTCGGAGTTTTGCTGCTTAACACCTTGTTTCTTATTCTCTTTCAGATCACCAGAAACTGGAACGTGAAGCTCGAATCTGCCGACTTCTAAAGCATCCAAATATTGGTAAACCTCCTTGGGCTCAGAGGGATGGGGGTGAGAGAGGAGTAACGTGTTTCATCTAGCATGCTGTAAGAGAGCAGATGTATTCTGAACATTCACAACAACTCATCAAACTTGCCTGTTGAAATTATTGCAGTTTCTCTCTTTGACAAATTCTGCGTATGATCCTGTCCCATTCCTTAGCGTCCTGGCCCAGACATTCACCAAAGTGTGCTGTGTTCCCACCCGCTCGCCCATGCAGAGCTGTCCCTGCTCCTTGGGTGATGCACAGCTCTTGTCTCCTCATCTGACATTCTGCAATGAGAGTGAGCTGTTGTGTTTGTTTTCCCCACACCTGTCTTCTGTTTCTTCTTCTTGGCGCTTTTTGATGTATCTGTTTAAATGCTGTATTCAGTGACATGCCCAAAGTTAAAGGAGGGTGGGCTAATATGTCAGCTCCTCTCATTACAGTAGCCACTTAGTCTGAAAACAAGAGACCAAAAACTAATTGCCCATTTTGGCAGTGGTCAAAAAAAAAAAAAAAAAAAAGAGTAACGGAGTAAAGGGAATACTTTGTCTAGAAATACAGGAAGAGGCAAAATAAGGCACAACTTCAAAGCAAAACTACATTATTTACTGAACTGTAGAGAGAGGGCATGGATTTTTATCTAGTTCCAAAGCACCACAGAAGTTTGTCTCAAGTTTTCTTTTACAGAAATTTCACATTGCTGGAAGTTGCTTTGAGCAAAAAATTTGGACCATTAATAATCCCCTTTTTTGGATCTTTAAATAAATAAAGCCATTAGGATCCTAGCTAAGGTCTAATTTGAGTTAATTTATTTAAGAAATACCAAACTACCACCTTCAATCAAACTACTGTTAAATATCCCTGCCTGGGAAACCTGTGATGCATTTCATTGTCGTTCTTTTGCATCACCCTATCTGTCAGTATAGCTAACATGTTAAGGGCATCTGTCTGGTCTGCTGACTTTCAGCTTTGTAATCATTTCATAGAATTGTTTAGGCTGGAAAAGACCTTTAAGATCATCCAGTCCAACCATTAACCTAACACTACCAAGTCCACCACTAAACCAGTTAAGGGTAGAGTAGTAATTTCATGTTTCCAGGCTTGGTGGCTGGATTATTTTTTAATGAAAGTAAAAACTAGGAATCATTAAGATTGGAAAGGATCTCCAAGATCACCAGTCCAGCCATCAACCCAACACCACCATGCCCACTAAACCATGTCCCAAAGTGCCACGTCTACCCGTTTTTTGAACTCTTCCAGGGATGGTGACTCCACCACCTCTCTGGGTAGCCTGTTCCAATGCTTGACTACGCCTTCCGTGAAGAAATTTTCCCTAGTATCCAATCTAAACCTCCCCTGACTCAGCTTGAGGTTTAGATTTTTTTTTAGACTCATTTGCTCCTATCCTCTGAAGACCTGGGAGAGGAAAGGTGCCTTACAGCACACCCCATGGACTAGCATCTGTAGCCTATTCCATATGTGATGAAGAAGCAATTTTCACAAGCTTGGGACCTCACAAAATGCGAAGCACCTTAGTAGCAGCTTTTCAGCAGAAAGAGCTTTGTTGCCTCTGAGTGTAGTTGTGGAGGTATGAGCAGTGACCACCTTCTACAGTAACTTGCACTGATGAATATATTGGCCGCTAAATTTACTGCTTGGCAATATTCAGAATGACTAAAACTCGTATTAACTAGTTGGTGAGCTTCATTTGCCCCATAAGACTTGTTGCACTTAGTTTAGTAGGTGATGTAACTTTTTATTTTGGCCTTAACTTCACTTTAATCATCTCGCCTTTTTATCATTTGTTACATCTTTTCTTGCCAGGCCTCTCTCAGAGTAAATCTCATACACAAGAGGAAAACCACTTTTATAAATAAACCGCACCAAAACCAGATACATATCACATTCCTGGTTCAATTCTGCAGCTTGTTCCTCATCTGTAATGAGTGGCAATGCTTGTCTCCTGTTGTATTGTGGTTTGGAAAAGACAGTTTGGGGGAATGTCAGTGGTTCTTGCATTTTCTACAGAGCATTTCTTGTCTTCCTAGAAAGAACATTTTTCCTTTTAAGATAAAGAGACTAGTCATTCTAAACTCAATGGGTGGTCACAAATAGCAATAAAGGAGTTAAGTTTTATGCCGGCAACACAGAATCAAAGTGTGTTGAATAAGATCTCGGGAAGTCATATGGTCCATTCAGCAGACCTGTGAAAACTTTTTGTACCTGGCTGGTTCCAGGCATGTTTGTTCTTAAAAACCTTTAATGCTTCCACAGCCCCTAGTGGCAATCTTTCAAATGTTTAATTTTTCTGTCAGACATTAGAAAAAACATACTTTGCTGCTATCTTAGCTTGTTGTTTCTAGTTCTATCAGGAGTATATGTAGAAAGTAGTTTTTCTTTCTTGTAACAATCTTTTACATATTTGAAGGCTGTTATCATGTCTCTTTTTAGTCCTCTTTTTCTTCAGACTAAACAAACCCAGTTCTTTCAATCTTTTCTCATACGTCATATTTTCTAGACCTCCAGTCTTCCCCCCCGCCGCCTTTCCTGGACTCTCTCCAGTTGCTTCATATCTTTCTAGAAATGTGATGCCCAAAACTGGACATACGATTCTAAGTAAGGCCATGTCAGTGCTGACTAGAGGGGGAAGAATTGCTTTACCTGTCCTACCAAAGATACTCTTGTTTTGTACATCAGCCTGTGAAACTCGCCATTTAAATATACTGTTGATGCATATTTGTTTTCTGACACATTATTATTCTGATGCTCCAGACTACTTTCTGCGGAACTTCTGGCAAGTAAATAATTTTTCCTTCTTGTATAGATGAGGATTCCTATCAAAGCCTACATTACATTTGTCTTCATTAAAACAAATAGGAAGAAATCCACCCTGTGCGTTCCCCCACAGATTTGTCAAGACCATTTTGATTTATCTTCTGATGCTATAATAGGGTTGCAACTCCCCCCACAGTAACATGATCTTTAATAACAATGCCATATATTGCATCATGTAGATAATTAATAACACTCTTGAATACTGTTGGGCTCTGGACAAGCTCAGATACATTGTTTCAGTTTGACAGTGATCAGTTTTGTGTATGTTTTTTCAATGAGTTGTATACACCATTGTAAGCTAGTTCTGAATACACATTTTTTCTAAATTGCTTATGGAGATAGCACATAAGATGCTGTCAGAAGCCTTGCTGAAGTCCAGATGCTACATGCATTGCTGCTTCCATATTCCTTGGACTTGTTGCATTGTCATAGAATGGAAACATGTTGTTCTGACATAGTGGTAGGTTTTTTCCTTGAAATGTATATTAGCAGTTAGTAATCACCTAGTTACTGCCATTCTGTGTTGTAAACTTTTCTGGATGAATACTTGGTGTGTTGCCTCAGCGTGAGCCATGATAGTAACACTGCACCAATCCTGAAGAATTCTGCAGATTTTGCGCTTGCTTTAATTTCCCCATTAAGTTTTCTTGTTACTGTTTTTGTTGCAAACTGCATTGTAGCGTGTCCTGCTCTTCTACAGTGACCTGAGCCTCTAGTGAGTCTGGGCAGAGGATTGAAAGTTAGGACTCGGCGAGGTGGGCTGCTTTTCTCTCCTGCCTGTACACAGGATGTAAAGCAAACCTATTGCTGAATTTGTGTTTCTTACCCATTTGCTGCAAGACAGTTGATTCTGCTATGGAGATTCTGGACTGCAACACACTGACCATAACACTGCTACTCCAATAAAACAGAGGTTACTCTAGGTACAAAGTAGTGGTGATACTTCCATTTGCTGTTGCTCTTTGTGAAATGACCGCTTTCTGAGCTATCCTAATATGCCTTCATTGAATCGCAGCCCTAATTATAGGCTATTGCTCTGTAACTACGTGTTTTGCTTGTCTTTAGATGCACATTATGGCTAAGATAATCACAGTGGAGTAATCCTTCTAAGAGCTTAGTGTTGCAGTAAGGTTTTTTTGTCTGGACAGAAGAAAGTTGACTTGAGGCAATTTTCTGATTTCCGACTCATGGTATGTACCATGTTCTCATTGCGAACCATCCATTTGAATGTGCCATTATAGCTAATTACCTTGGACTTTAGTTCAGTAGAGCAAGGACTTCTTTCCCTATTTCCCTAACTTTCAACTTGCTTTTTTTTCCTCCTGACTACTTTCTAGAGTATTTTGCATTCTGGTCCAGAGAAACCATTTGCCAGCCACGCCTACCAAAGACAGCAAAATTGGATGGAGATCAATGAGTGATCTGTTCACTCTGTCCTCGTTTAAAGGAAAAAAAAAAAAGATGCACCCATTACTGAGGATATGGGAGTGTTAGAGAGGCAATATCATTAAAACCCCACTGTCCATAAGCAGATAAAATGCCTGTGGAAGTTGTCAAGAGTCACAGCTCTATGGGGAATTCCACTTCTTGAACAACTTAGTGTTCCAGTGATTCGCTTATCTATAAATCTTGTGGGCATTTAGCATGGATGTATTTGGGAACACGTAGAAGAGAATGATAACGACTCTCTTCTCCCTTGGTCCCTGCTTTGCAGGAAAGAGGCAGGTTTCTGCAAGCATGCTCATAGCCCTGACCCTTCATTTGCAGATGCTTTCCTGATTTTGCCACTGAAGCTTTTGCAATGGCTACAATAAAATAAATTTCACCATTGCCTTCTGTTTGTTGTAGAGCTAAACTTAAAATATGTTGAATATCGATTCTTGCTTACTGGAACATCTCTTTTGGTCTTCTACGTAATTTTAAACTCAATTTCAGTCAGTGATTTTTAAGTCCTGTAATTAATTCACTACATAGGGATTCTCTTGTGGAAAATTCAGTTTTTTCCCATGCTTTCTGCTACCCATCAAATACTAGAGCAGTGGCAGAGTTGGGAACCCCAGTATCTTCCTGCAGGCTTGTTCAGTGCAGATGTGAAGTTCAGCACAGTGCTGAACACGACCTTTCCTGTCTTAGGACTCCCAAAGCAATAACGATGCAAAAT